TGCTGCTGTTGGTGCTGCTGCCTGCTTGGATTCCTGCTTTTTACTGCTGTTGCCTTTCCTGCTCCTGCTCTGGCTTCTGGGGGGGGGGGGTTCTGGGGGGGGGGGGGGGGGGTGGGGCATCGAACGGCCGTCTGCTTCTGCTTGTCCCACGCTGTGGCACTTAAACTAAACTGCAACTACTTGCTGCTGAGGTACACTACTGATTCTCCTAGGATTCTTCCTCTACCTCTAGCTCACACCTCCTACTTGCTCCTGCTTCCTAGCTTACACTTTAACTGCTCTTTTATACTACCTTCACCTGCTCTCACCTCACCCTACTGTAACCAACTCCAACTTTGCTTTAACCTCAACCAAACTGACTGCTTCCTCACTTCAGCTCTTCCTGGCTCCATCCTCTTCTCACTTCCGTCTTCTCCTCCTCCTTTCCTTTCTCTCCCCTCTTCTATTCTCATGTCTCCCTGCTTCCCCCCCGCACTTGAATTTTCTATTTCTACGGCCTTCTTGGGCGTCATGTTCTGCTGCCCCTAAGCCGCTGTTCCTCTCCTTTCTTTTTAACCATACTGCCTGCTGCTATCTTTTACTGCAGCTTCTATCAACCCCCTGCTTGATCTCTCTCCTAGTACTTCTCCGGTTCTCCTTTCCAATCTCTTGTTTTTCCTTTCTATTTTCTATTTTCTTTTTCTTTTTCTAGTCCTCTTTCTTTTTTCTATTTTCTTACTCTCTTTTTTTATTTCATTTCTTTCCACCTCTATTTCTATGTTTTGTTTTTTTTTTTCTCTATTTTCATTTTCCCCCTCTTATTTTTTATATATCTATTTTTCTATTTTTTTTCCCTTGTCCTTTTTTAATTTTTTTGTTTTCCTTTTCTTTTTCATCTTTTATTTTTTCCTTATTCTTTCTAATAATTCCCATTCTTTCTTTACCCTTTATCTCTCTCTTCCCATTAACCAAAAAGCATAACAAAAACGCAAAGCCCAACAGAAAAACAAAACATAAAACACATAAAACAACTAAAAAAACAAAAAAACACAAAAAACTCAACCCAAACCAAAGAAAACAATAAAGTGAAACACAAAAACAACCAAGCAAATACACATAAAACCAAAAAAACTACACAACCAAGAAAATCAAAAAAACAAAACAGCATCAAATATCTTCATCTTACCAACTACATTCTCAAGCTTTCCCCTGCCCTTATTAATCCCTGCCCTTGCTTTTACTGCTGATCTGTTTTTTTTCTCCTTTCCAATCTCCTGCTTCTATTTCTGCTCCTTCCGCTTTCCCTGCTCCTGCTTTTACTGCTTCTTCTACCACTGATCTGTTTTTTTCTCCAGTCCAATCTCCTGCTTCTGTTTCTGCTCCTTCTGCTTTCCCTGCTCTTGCTTCTACCACCGATCTTATTTTTTTTTTCTCCCGTCCTGTCTCTTGTTTCTGTTTCTGCTCCTTCTGCTTTCCCTGCTCCTGCTTTTAGTGCTGCTTCTACCGCTGGTCTGCTTGTTTCCCTTTCCAATCCCCTGCTTCTGTTTCTGCTCTTTCTGCTGCCCCTGCTTCCGCTCTTGCCCCTGCGCCTGCTACTGCCTCCGGCTTCTGTCCCTCTCCTTGTTCCTGCTTCTGCTTCTCTTCCTGCTTCTTCTCCTGCTTTTAAGTATCTTTCTCTTGCTTTGATTCCTAATTTGTTTTTATTCTTGTTTTTTGTTGTTGTTCATTTTTAGTTTTTTTTGTTCCTCTTCTCTTTTCCTTATCTTTTATTCCATCTTTATTTTCTTCTTTCTTCGTTATCTTCAATATCTTATCTTATTTCATATTTCTTTCTTCCATATTCTCCCCTTTCTTCATATTTATTTCTTCCTTATTTTCTTCGTCGTTATTTTCATCTCTCTTATTATTTATTTCTTCCTTATTTTCTTCGTCGTTATTCTCATCTTCCTTATTATTTATTTCTTCCTTATTTTCTTATTTCTTTTCTCGCGTTTTTCCTTTTCTTCAATCGATGAATTTGGAGAAGCTCAGACTCGGCTCCTAATCAGGGGTATACACGGGCTCAAAACCTCAACCCCACCCCCCAAACAAAACCCCACCCACACACCCCACCCGCACACCAACGCCGCACCCCGCCCTCGCCACTCTCTCACTCTCTTCCTCCTCTCTCCTCTCTCTCTCTCTGCTCTCCGACTCTGTCTGTCTCTCTCACTCCTCTCTCTCTATCTCTCCTCCTCTCTCTCTCCATCTATCCTCTCTCTCTCATCCCTCCCTCTCGGCGTCCGTCTGTCTCTCTTCTCTCTCTCCCTCCTCCTCTCCTCTGTCCTCGTCTTTCTCTCTCCCGCTCCGCTCAATCGTCATCTCTTTTCTCCTCTCACTCTCTCTCCCCTCTCTCCGTCTGTCTGTCTGTCTGTCTCTCTCTCCCCCTTCTCTCTCTCTCTCTTCGCTCTCTCTCTTCTCTCTCCTCCCTGTATGTGTCTTTCTGTCTGACTGTCCTCCTCTGTCTCTTCTCTCTCTCCTTTTTCCTCTTTTTCCTCTCTTTCTGTCTGTCCGGGCTGTGGCCTGTTTTCTTTTTTTTTCTCTCCTCTTCCCTCTCTTTCTCCATCCCTCTCTTTCTCTCTCTCTCTCTCCGCTCCGTCTTCTCTCTCCTGTCTCTCTCTCTCCTTCTCTCTCTCTCTCTCTCTCTCTCTCTCCCTCTCTGTCTGTCTGTCTGACTGTCTCTCTGTCTCTCTCTCTCTCTTCCTCTTTTTCTCTCTTTCTGTCTGTCTGCCTGTTTTTTTTTTTCTCTCTCTCTCTTCTCTCTCTCTCTCTCCGTCTCTCTCTCTCTCTCTCCTTCTCTCTCTCTCTCTCTCTCTCTCTCTCTCTCTCTCTCTTCTCTCTCTCTCTCTCCCTCTCTGTCTGTCTGTCTGTCTGTCTCTCTCTCTCTCTCTTCCTCTTTTTCTCTCTTTCTGTCTGTCTGCCTGTTTCTCTCTCTCTCTCTTTCTCTCTCTCTCTCATCTTTCTCTTCTCTCTCTCTCTCTCTCCTCTCTCTCTCTCTCTCTCACTCTCTCTCTCTCCGTCTGTCTCTCTCTCTCTCTTCTCTCTCCTCTCATCTCTCTCATCTCGCTCCTCTCTCTCTCTCTCTCTCTCCGTCTGTCTGTCTGTCTGTCTCTCTCTTTCTCCTTTTCTCTCTGTCTATCTGTCTGTCTGCCTGTTTTTCTTTCTCTCTCTGTCTGCCTGTCTTTTTCTCTCTCGCTCTCTCTCTCTTTCTCTTTCTCTCTCTTTGTCTCTGTTTTTTTTTTCTCTCTCTTACTCTATCTCTTTTTCCTTCTTTCTCTGTCTCTCTCTCCCCCCCCCTCTCTCTCTGCCTGTCTATCTCTCTGTGTATTATGTATGTATGTATCTATCTCTTTCTTTGTCTGTCTTTTTGTCTCTAATTCTCTCTCTTGTTCTCTCTACCTCCCCCCTCTCCCTTTCTGTCTATCTATCTATCTATCTATCTATATCTTTATTTGTTGATCTACCTTTGCATCTCTCACTCCCTTTGTCTATTCTTTTACTCCCTCTCTTTAGTGCTTTATCTTTTTTCTCCTTTTCTTTCTTATTCTCACTTTTTTTTCTTCTTTTCTTTATTTTCTCTTTCTTATCCTCTCTTCTCTTTTCTCCTTTCTTATATAATCATTTCATTTATTTTCTTTTGCTTTTCTGATTTTCCCCTCGCTCTTTCACTCTCTCTTATTTCTCTTTCTCTTATTCTCCGTATTTTCTTATTCTCCCTCTCTCTCCTTCCTTTTATTTATTTATCTCTTTATCCCAGTTTCCTCTTTTTTTCCTATCTTATTCCCTCCTTTCCCTTTTCCTATTTTCTCTGTGTTTTCTCTTTCTCTTTTCTCAATCACTTCGTTCTTCCCTCTTCCTTTCCTCCTCTTTTTCTCCTCCCATTGCCAATTTCATCCGCCTACGCACACACATACACACACAAAACATACATACACAGACACACACATACAAAACACAGACACACACACACAAACACACACACATATACACACACACACACACACACACACACGCACAGACACATAATCACACACACACGCACAGGCACACGCACACACACACACATGCGCGCATACATACACACACATACAAACGCACAGACACACACACAAACGCACACACACACATACAAAACATACACACAAACACACATACAAAACATACACACAAACACACGTACAAAACACACACACAAACACACATACAAAACACACACACAAACACACATACAAAACACACACACAAACACACATACAAAACACACACAAACACACATACAAGACACACACACAAACACACATACAAAACACACACACAAACACACATACAAAACACACACACAAACACACATACAAAACCACACACAAACACACATACAAAACACACACACAAACACACATACAAAAAACACACACAAACACACATACAAAACACACACACAAACACACATACAAAACACACACACAAACACACATACAAAACACACACACAAACACACATACAAAACACACACACAAACACACACACACACACACACATACAAAACACACACACAAACACACATACAAAACACACACACAAACACACATACAAAACACACACACAAACACACATACAAAACACACACACAAACACACATACAAAACACACACACAAACACACATACAAAACACACACACAAACACACATACAAAACACACACACAAACACACATACAAAACACACACACAAACACACATACAAAACACACACACAAACACACATACAAAAAACACACACAAACACACATACAAAACACACACACAAACACACATACAAAACACACACACAAACACACATACAAAAAACACACACAAACACACATACAAAACACACACACAAAACACACATACAAAACACACACACAAACACACATACAAAACACACACACAAACACACATACAAAACACACACACAAACACATACAAAACACACACACAAAC